GCGCTCTGTTTACGGAAGTAAAAATGGTGGCTACGGATCTAGTAGGTGTTGTTGCAGCAGTCTATCAATTTCTCTCCATGCTAATCAAGTCCAAAACCTCCGTTTCTGTCCATTGACTCGCTGCAGATTCAGGAGAGGGAGCAAATAATTATTTCCCACACACTAGAAACTGTCTGTAGGATTTGATACTCACCCTCTGAATTCCAGATCAGACGAACAGCAAGGAAATCTTGCAAATTGTTGAGCAGCGTATATTTCACCAAGAAGTGTTGTTGAGGCCTGATGGTCCTTGGGCAGGACGCCATCATCACCAACTCCGGACGATTTAAGTGAACGCTGGGTATCGAGTAACAAGTAGAGATGCATCTGGAGACAGCATGATAAGTATTATATTTCTATTATTAGAACATATAGCAGGAATTCTTCTTATAAGAGAAAACAAATAGCACAACAAGACTACAATTTCAATTCTATACAATTATAAACAGAAAAAAGTCATTTAATGTTCTTAAGAGACAGACAACCATTCCCACTCACAGTCGTACTTATGGGCAATTTAGAATTATAAGTTAACTTAATCCCACTAAACTTTGGTCTTTGGACTGTGGGAGGAAGAGAACCCACGCAAACTCCACACAGAAAGGCCCCAGGTGCTGCAACCGAACCCAGGATCCTCTTGCAGTGCTTATCGCAGTGTGACGCCTGCTAGCGTTTGTTGAGCAATTGCTGTCCTTCTACAGCAATGCATAGGGGTCAAAGGTCTAATGTAGTGCAGCCACATACATGATCCATAGTTGCTACAGTCTGCGCTAAGGGTGCAAACACGCACTCAGTTGTTATTTAAAATAGATGTTAAACTACAAATTCTGGAAGTCATATAAATATCATCTCTTAAATTGTTTAAAAAATTGTTTTTATTTTGCCACAGTTGGTGAAATTAATCAATTTATTTTTATACTAATTTTCTCTAAATCCTGTTATATGTTTGTGTTCAGTCAAATAACAAAATAGTGCTGTAGATCCAAAAATATAGGATTACAGATCGATCTCTCTCCATATATATATATAATAAAGGTTATTTGTATTTAGCAGCCTGCAGCCTTTTGATGATCCTTTGGTGCCCTCTAGTGACTCATGTGAAATAGTGATCAACTGGGAAATTAATGTTATTTCTGTTAAATAAACTCGTACGATCTTTATTTGTAGACCACACTAAGCAAAAGATAAATAAAAACCCAAAGGGAACTTTAAGTCTGTTTGCCATCCTTTACTGGATGCAAGCAGCGGCTGTAATTACTTTAAAATACACAGCAGTCGTTTCATATACACAGTACATGCAGACAGCACTGCTCCAGGACTGTTATGTACTGCTACTGCTACAGAAATACCTCAACAAGAAGACAAACAGTTACCTCATAGCAGGATGTACTGGACTGTGCCACTGTAGGACAGCCAACAATGGGACTTCCAAACCCTATGAAAAGACAACAACATTATTTAATAATTAAAACCTCCTCTTCGACCCCTCTACCTCTCACATTGGACTCTCCGGGAGGCTTCAGACTGAAAGCCCCATAGAGGGCAGAGAAGTGACAAGGTGATGAGAGGCATTATGAGGTATGGTCTTTCCATGTGATTTCCATGCATCCTCATTAAATTTCCAATTTTTACAGGTGGGATAAGGTCCCTAGGCTAGATGCCCCATGCTAACCAAGCCTACCTCGGATATGGGCAAGAGAAAAGTGAAACCATACCATCGCCAGGATTAACAAGGTCACTGTCAGGTGTTGAGGAGCCAGGATACTGATGAAAAGTGTACTGAAACAAGAAGGCTCAAGTCGGCAAGAGATGAGAACAGGGCACTGTTGGAGTACTAATATGCAAGTAACCCCAGGAGAAGAGGTTACATGAGCAGGATGTGGGACCTCTGGTATCTCCAGCATCCAGATTGTCAGCAAAACAACTACTAACTCAGTGTTCCAACATTTGCAGAAAGGAACTGCTGTCACAGCTAGAGACTGACGAGGTACAACACACAAGCTGTGGCAAGGGGGAGCCAGGAAGACAAGTTGGGGGGAGATATCATCATCACCCCCACCTGAGCTTGGGTACCAAGCCCAGGTACGATGGAAGAAGGAGCGCTGAGTGTGAGAGAAACTGACCTGAAAGGTAGGATCATGGTGAAGCTTTAAATTTGGACCCTCCGTATTCGGTTACCAAGATTACGTGAAGCACTCTCTGAAGGTCTACTAGATGATGTGAATGCAGCACTACGGACAGTTCCTACTGTAACCATCACTGAGACTAATCAATACCCCTCAGTACCCTGGAGAAGGAGACTGGAGGTCAAGATCAAGGTAGCGTGGAGCAAAGTTATCGGTATTGAAGTAGAAAGAAATACAGCAAGCACGATAACCTGCCTCAGTACCACATGGAAGCTCCTGTCAGGCATCATATCAGAGGCTGAACAGCATATGGTTCAATACATGAGCGGCGCACAGAAAGGAATCAGCAGGAATACTAGAGGAGTGAATCCCCAGCTACTGGTAGACAGAGCAGGCGCCTGAGACTGAAAGAGTTTGAATAATACAGGCTAAGGGAAGCATGTATAAAGTAAACAGAAAAGGCAGAGTGCCTTTAATTCCTATGGCATGTTCTAACCTGTAATACAAACGGTGGTGACCAGTAATGAAAGCAGCACTGTGACGTGGCAGATTTATTTTCTGATGTATTAATCATACATTTTTATCGTATCACATTAGTAATAGTAATAGCAAGAGCACTCCTGTCCCTTAGTTGTATGCATGTGCACTACAAATGGGCCTTGTGCTCTACACACACACTTGACGCAGTGAGGCCAGTGTTAGTTCATGGGAGAGGTTAAACAGATAGTGAGCCTCCTGTTTATCAGGGACGTAAATCCTTGGGTGACGGCCAAGCAGAAAACAAAGTCATAATTCTGTCTGTGAGGGAGAATTATGACTCTGC